CTCAATATTGTTATATTGTCTACTGTACGTGCCTTCAATGAAATTCCAACACTATACAAATACTACAAACTTTACTGGAAGATGGGCACAGATTAGGCCCACTATAATTAAATTAATTATTAGATATAATAATAATAATAATAATGAATGAATGATAAATACTAATATAATAAGAAGAAGAGAAGAAAAAAAGAAAGACGAAAAGTGTCCTCCCGCAAGAGGGTGTGTTGGTAAAAAAAAAAACTAATCATAAAAACGCCATACGTTATTCCACGAGTGTGTGTAGTAAAAGTTCATTTACGAACGTTATCTTACAATTACTTTTCCCTGTCATTGATATGGGGAACAACATAAACAAATGATGGAGGCGGTGTAATCATGATAAATAAGTCAACTCTCTTTCAATAATACCGAGGTATTTCATGAAAAATTACTAGTCCAATGTGCCGCCACACCAGTAGACGTCCATAAGTATGCAAATAAGATTGAAAAGTACTCCCTAAGATAAACTTAGGTCATCTCCCCAAAATTTGTCCCATTACATTTGTCTCTAATCTCAAACCACTTTCAAGCCCAGAGTCCTTCTGAAATTAGATGTCAAATCTAGATTTAAAAATAAAACCTGGCGCCTAAAGGGTTAAAGCTGTTGAGGAATAATGACTTGTTGAGTGTTAATGTTGTAATGTTCTTTATCGTAGCTCTTTGGTTTAGCACATGTAACTGGTGGATGTTCCGGACTATTGACTGTATTATAGTTGTGTCTGTGCTGATGTTCTGTCTTCCTGTGCTCCGTCTGCAGGCCTTAATCTGTCTGGTAGACAAGAAGTCGGGAGAGAAGAGTAAGACACGACCACGATTTGTCAAACAGGACCAGGTCTGCATCGCCCGTCTGCGCACGGCAGGAACCATTTGCCTCGAGACCTTTAAAGACTTTCCTCAGATGGGACGGTTTACCTTACGGGACGAAGGTAGAGCTAGAAGGACACTTGTTTTTCTGAATTCTTTTATTGATTAACAATTTATTTTACTACAGGTCAGAGAGAAATGGTGATAAAATAACTGTTAGTTTGATGTGATGCAAATAAAATAGCAATAATGGCAGCTGTAGATGATGAACGTTAACTCAGTAACACTACAGTGAAAAGTTTTTCTACTCTCTGCAGCTGGTGTCTGCATATAGACAAAGATTGTTTGTCAGTACCGAAATGCATCACTCTGTGACACTACTGTACGACCGCCAGCACTTTTCTGTTGACCAACAGAGTGGTGACTCTTCTCTAGAAAAATAATATAAACTAAAAATATTTTAATTGGGACGATATCGTCATATTTGTTTCCTGGCACGTTCACTCGTCATTCATAGCTTGATAAGTCCTTAGTTGATCCTTCACTCTTGAAATTAGCATTAAAGTAATCCTGATCAAAATGTAGCTGCACAGTGAAATCTTATCAGTAGCATAATACATTAATTGATTTAATGATTTTTCCGTGGATATTTGTATAATTCTTAGCAAGTGTATACTACTAAGCCTGTGTGATTGTTGTCATTGTAAGTTCTGGCTCAGGTCAACCCTTTGTCAGAGTCCGAACAAAATGGCAAATGCTGGAAAGTAGCAGGGTCCAATTTTGGGCTAATAAGTGACATGCTATGGGATCAGTGCAGACACAATTACTCGCCGATACCACATTTTAGGCAGTATTGGATTTTAATAAATCATTTTGAGACTGATTCTTGTTAGTGAAGCTGAGCCAGAACTGTGATGCTCTTTGTCTGCGTGTGTTTCAGGTAAGACCATCGCCATCGGTAAGGTGCTGAAGCTGGTTGCCGAGCGGGACTGAAGACTATGGAGCTGCCTGCAGGTCCCGGTGAGAAGGAACGGGCGGAGCTCGGTCATAACCCGCCCACACTGTTGTCAGCGGCGACGGCACCTCCCTGCCCCCCTTCCGTGTGCCGAAGATCAGCTTCAGAAAAAATACTCGTGAAAAAGAAAACCTGTTTTTAAAGCAAATGACAAACCAAGATGAAGTCCACACGAGTCAGCTTTCTCATATTGAGAGCTCAGCTATGCCATTTCTGGGTTAGCCCTACCACCACCTCTCCCACCTCCCTCCTCTGGTCTACTCATCAGTACATGATTTTTTTTTTTTTCTTCCAGATTTTTTTTTTTTTCTTGCTTTCATAAATGACAATGAAAAATGGCAGAAGTTATATCTCTAAACAGATGATGACCAGGGTTTTGCTTGGAATATAGAAAACGATTTTCAGTAAGTAAAATTGCAAAAGAAATTGTTTGAAAGAACTTAAACCAGTTGAAACCAAAATGTTTATCTTGGGTGTACATGTCTACCTTTGCTTTTACCCACTTTTTGGTTTCTCATGTGGCGTTCTGGCAGTGTGCTTGAGCGTGTTCAAATGTTATTAAAGCAAACAACTATGACAATAAAATAATAAATTGGGAAAACAGAGTGTTCATTTTCAGACCACATTGTGTCTGGTTTCATATTTCACAGGTCATGCTGAAGTTGACTTTGTGGTGGTGGAGTTCACAAAGCACTGGTTGGTCACATGAAACCCCTCAAAATGCAGTTTTCAATTCAGACATTGTCTGGGGACATGTTGAACAATTTGACTATTAAAATATATATAAAAAATGTAAAAAATAAAATTGGCATTTTATTATTTTACTGTTAAAGGTCCGGTGTGTAGGATTTAGTGACCTCTAGCAGTGAGTCACAACTCCCTCGCTTCACCCTCCCCTTCCAAGCGCAAGAAGGAGAAACTACGGTGGTCGCAAAACTTGACCTTCCCTATCAAGAGCCTAGAAACATGACGGTTCAAAATAGCAGCCTCCGTAGAAGAGGACCCGCTCCATATTAAAAACAGCTCATTCTAAGTCAACCTCTCAAGTGATTAAACACTAATGAAAACATAGCTATGAATGTTATATTCTGTTTTGTAGATCCTGCTCAATATTACACACTGGACCTTTACAGTAAAACTGCTGGGTCTATATTATCACAGATTATCAGTCAGTACAATAGTGTCATGAGTAACAAATGCCACTTCAGAAGTACTAAGATATGTTTGGGATGATTTAGAAACCGTGTCACCATATCAGATTGTCACTAGAGAGCACTGTAGTTTATTTTTACACAGAAATCTGCTGCTCACTTTAAAACCCTTGACAAATGTATGTCTTTATACAGTCCAATAATCATATTTTTTGCCTTTAATGCATGTCTGGAGAAGTTGTTTGTTGTGCAAAAAAAGTATTTTCAAACTCTTCAAAAGGTATCTACTCCTAATCTAGAATCAATAAATGTGCAAATTGTGTTAATTTTTTCCTGCTGTGTCATCCCCACTTGTTTTACTTATAGTTACGCATCACTCATGTAGGCCGGGTTCATTCCACTGATACAGAACAAATACACCAGCAGGTGGCATCTGCTCTGCTCACTGCTACAGTAAGAGAAATTGAAATGAAAGTGAATGTAGTTGAAGTACATTTGAATTTAAAGCTGCAGTAGGTAACTTTAATCAAAATATGTCATATTTGCTGAAACCTTCACTATATCCTGACAGTAGTACATGAGACAGATAATCTGAAAATATCAGGTTCCTCTGGCT